AGATAGATAATGTCCCAGTATCTAGTAATGCAGTCAGTAGTAAAATTTCCCCAGTCAGCCCCCAAATCAGGATCTAATAAAGTATGTGTCACATTAGTCAGTAGCAGCTGAGTGGCTAGGTCAACAGTAGCCTACCCTTCATTTGCAGTGCAGCTTCCTGGGTGTTTCAGATGGTGTGTAGGGCAGTTGTTATCAAACTTGGCTGCTCCTGGGAGTGTCACCCCAGACCAGTTAACCATCAGAATTTCCAGAGGTGAAAGTGTTGAAGGTAATTTAATCAAAACAATACAAAGTTGGCAGCAGTCCACCTTGTCTGCATGCTACTAAAATAAGCCAAGATGTCATCAGTTTGTCACTAGTCTTGTCACACTGTTGGCTTATGTTGGGCTTAGGATCAACTAACAGTAATAGCCACTGTTACTGACTCGCTTCTATGCCAGACACTGTACTTCATGCTTTCATGTAGGATCTCATCTAATGTACAACAGCCCTGTTGAGTATGCAGCTATCCTGGTTTTATAGGTAGGGAAAGAGCATCAGCAATTACATTAATTTTCTTGCTCAAAGTTAGTCAGGAAGTGACGAGGCCAGGATGCAGACACCTTGAGGAGCATAGCTTAGAATTTTGGTGAGTTTCTTCCTACTGTTGTCATGTCGGAGTTATTCTCAAGGTGGTGGACTTGTTTTGGAACAAGGGTCATAGGCTTTCTTTGTATCCAACCTTGTTAAATTTTACATGGTTTAAACCTCCCTCTGGCCTCCTATTTCCATCATCCAATTCCAATTGTGTGATGGTGCTCTTTGAGTAGCAGAAACATCAACAGAATTTCTTTACTGAAAATGTCAGGATGTATACCATTATCATAACATATGGATTAAAATAAAAGGATGGGTGGTGTTCTTGGGGATATCTTGAGGTAGCATTTTCTAAATATGTGTGATGACAAAGTAACCAGTCTTTGTACCCAGCATGGTAGGACAGAAGCCTAGAGATTGTTTTCAAAGTCTATACTCTTCTTAAAATCTGAGAACTCTTGATTTCTAAAGAATAAACTCGAAAGTATGTAAAAAAATTAGCCTATAGTGTTTGGATGGAAGTGATCTTAATGTAAAATGTATTCCTATAAACCTCTGGATACTTGATAAACACTCTGAAAGAATCCCCAGGCCACATTTATTATTAAACTTCATGGTTGATCCTGATCCACAAATGCACTAAAAAAATTTTTTTTCAAACAATTAACTTATAAATGACCTGACTTAGCTATTCTTAAAGAGCCTTACCATACCTAAAAAGGTAGGGGGAATGTTTGAAAGTAGTAATATTTGGGTGTTTTTATCGTTAATGCATTTTATATCTTTAAACACTGCTGTGTGTTAGGACTATGTTCTGCCTCAAGGGATAGAAAACCACGATATGGCCACAGTAAGACTCACATAGCGTCTTGCTTCTGGGAATGTAGCCAGTCCAGGGCTGCTATGGCAGCTGCCCAGTCCTCCCAGACCTTGGCTCCTGCTATCTCATCCTACCTTCCTTGTTACTGGGTGGAATCATTCTGTTACTTGAGGATCTTGGGGTGAGACTCAAGCACTGTGTCACACTTCTGGATATACTAGAACTTCTCAGTGCTCCTCCTAAAATGTGGAGCCCAGGACTAGATCGAACTGTTGCTGGCAGGTGAGCGCCATTTGGACAGGGACCCTGTCTGCTGTCTGCCGAGTCCTCTGCCTCTGGGGCCTGCTCCACTGCCAGCCATCGTGTGTTGTCAGTGGGAAGGAATGAAGGGGAAAGAGAATGTTCCTTAAAGACACTTCCCAGAATGGCATCTTTCCTGTTTGCAACCAGCTGACCAGAAATTAGTCCACATATCACACCCAGCTGCTGAGAAATAGTCAATACTTCACAGCCATATGCCCAGTTAAAATTCAGAGGTAATTTTGCTAAGGAGAGAATGGAAATGGCGGGGTGGTGGGGTAGGGGGGCAACCTGCAGGCTTTGCCAAATTATAGCTAAAACACTTACACTTCAAAGACCCTGGGTTCAGTTAAAAAGGCAGAAATGCCAGCAGACGTTTTAGTTGCTGGTGCTGTCATAGCAGTGCAAAGTTGAGTGGCTTGAACAACAGAAATGTTACGGTCTCACAGTCCCAGAGGTGAGAAGTCAGGTCGAGGTGTTTGCAGGGCTGGTTCCTGAGTGGTGAGGGCTGTCTGTTCCATGCCTGTCCCTTGCTCCTGGAGGTTGGTGGCCATCTGTGGTGTTCTTGACTTGTAGCTGTATCACCCTGAACTCTGCCTTCATACTCAGCATTCTCCCTATTTACATGTGTCCATGTCTAGATTTCCCTTTTGTGAGGACACGTGGCATATTGAATTAGAGGCCCACCCTACTCCAGTGTGATCTCTTAGGTAACTGCAATGGCACTGTTTCCAAATAAGGGCACATGCCTCGGTGCTGGGGGCTAGGACTTCAACGTGTGAATTTTGAGGAGACAACCCACAAGGAGATCACAGAGAATTCAATTAAAAAGTGACTTACCAAAACTGTCCCTGTTTGCAGATGACATGACATTGTACATAAAAAACCCTAAAAAGTCCACTCCAAAGATACTAGATCTAATAACTGAATTCAGCAAGGTTGCAGGATACAAAATTAATACACAAAAAGTCTGTTGCATTCCTATACACTAATGATGAACTAACAGAAAGAGAAGTCAGGAAAACAGTTCCATTCACAATTGCATCAAAAAGGATAAAATACCTAGGAATAAACCTAACCAAGGAAGTGAAAGACCTATACCCTGAAAACTACAAGACACTCAAGAGAAATTAAAGACACTAATAAATGGAAGTTCATCCCATGCTCTTGGCTAGGAGGAATTAATATTGTCAAAATGGCTATCCTGCCTAAAACAATCTACAGATTCAGTGCAATCCCTATTGAAATACCTACAGCATTCTTAAGTGCACTAGAGCAAATAGTTCTAAAATTCATATGGAACCACAAAAGACCCTGAATAGCCAAAGCAATCCTGACAGAGAAGGAAAAATATGCAGGGGGGTTCTTGCTTCCCAACTTCAAGCTCTACTCTAAAGCCATAGTAATCAAGACAATTTGGTACTGGCACAAGAACAGACCCATAGACGAATGGAACAGAATAGAGAACCCAGATATAAACCCAAGCATATATGGTCAATTAATATACGATAAAGGAGCCAGTGGTGAAACGACAGCCTCTTCAACAGCTGGTGTTGGCAAAACTGGACAGCTACATGTAAGAGAATGAAACTGGATCACTGTCTAACCCCATACACAAAAATAAACTCAAAATGGGTCAAAGACCTAAATGTAAGTCATGAAACCATAAAACTCTTAGAAAAAAACATAGGCAAAAATCTCTTGGACATAAAACATGAGCAACTTCTTCATGAACATATCCCCCTAGGCTAGGGAAACAAGCAAAGATGAACAAGTGGGACTATATCAAGGTGAAAACCTGTACAGCAAAGGGCATCATCAATAGAACAAAAAGACATCCTATAGTATGGGAGAATATATTCATAAATGACAGATCTG